TTTTTAAATTACATTGATTTGTTAATATTAAAAAAAATTTAAAAACATTTTTTTAATATGTTTCTAAATAAAAAAGCACTTTAAAAATCTTATATGCTAAATTCAAATAATATTTACCATAAGCTATGTACTAATCCAAATCATCTTTTTTAATTTTGGCAAGTTTAGTTTACTGAAAAAATAATAAAAAGTATAACCCAACGTTAGAAAGTAGATTTCTACACTCATTAAATTATAACCCCAACAAATGTTGGATAAACATTCTAACTGCAGCGGCGAAATCACTGGAGATGAGCTTTTACGGAGTTTGATGGTAAGAATCTTGACTGCGGTTGGAATTATGGGTTCACGGCAACAGGGATATAGCCCACGTATTTTTCCCAGGCTTGAATATTTCTTCACTTTTGCCATCTTGTAAATTATTTCATGTTAACAAGCTGATCATGGTTATTCATGTGCCAAGTGACGAGGTTTAAGATCTGTTATAGACAAACAAGCGTACACATCGAGGCTGATGCAAAGTTCACTTTGACTGAGAAGATGATTGAGACACTGAAAGACCTCCTAAATATTTTTGATTGAGACACTGAAAGACCTCCTAAATAAAATTTTTTTTTTGAGATCACTGTTGGGTGAAGTGTTGAGATCATATATGTACATTGTTCAATTTATAAAGACAATCCTTAAATCCGCTTAGTAAGTCTCACATGTCCTGGAAATGTGAGTGCATGATATATCTTTGTAGTTGTTAAACGTAGGTGGAGTTGACTCCATTTATCCTATTTGAACTCTAGTTTTGGGTTTATTAGTGAATATTACATATAATTAATTAGTTGATTATATGTGATATTGAGTTTGCTTATATCAATATATTTAATTTTAATAAAAATTTTATATATTTTTAATATTTTATCAAATAATTAATTAATAAATAAAAAATAAAAAAAGAATAAAAAATATTTTTATAATCTATATTAATTTTAATAAAAATTTTATATATTTTATCAATTAATTAATTAATAAAAAAATAATAAAAAAAAAATAAAAAATATTTTTATAATCTACAGAGGAGATGAACTAGTAGTTCATGACTATTTAAATGTTAGTTTTTAATTATTTATTAAAAATAAAAAAACTAGTTTAGTTATATTTTACTTTAAATAATGGTACTATAAATTACAAGAGTTTTAAATAAAAGATATAGGTAGTCTCTACAAATAAAATCACACCTATTTGTTTGAGTGGACAAAAAATGTTGTTTGAATTAAGAAGTTTATTACAAAACTATGATTCCTAGCATTGTTGATTTAGTAGTTTTGTATTATGATAATAATTTATGATCTAAAAATATATTTAGATATTTTTATTTGATTAGAGAATTATATAAAAGAAAGATGTAAAGATAGAGTGAGTGCTTACCGAAAAGAATCTTGTAGACCCTCTTACTAAGCCATTGTCCCAGTAAAAGTTTATTCTCTTATGATTTTTCTAATATTTGAAAAGATGTAAAGATAGAGTGAGTGCTTACTGAAAAGAATCTTGTAGACCCTCTCACTAAGCTATTGTCCCAGTAAAAGTTTATTCTTTTATGATTTTTCTAATATTTAAAGGATCATGAGAAGTTGCTAGACTTTATACTTGATTTTTTAAATATAAATGAATTAATAGTTAAATTGATAATAATTTAATTTATTTAATATGATTTTATTTAGAATTGTGATTTATATTTAGATTATTTTATTAGTGAACATAATAGGTCACACCTATAAAAATTATTAGTAAAAAATTAATTTTAGATGATTAATCAATTATGATTTTATTATAAATAAGTTTTAAAAATTAAGAATTAAAATTTAACACTTATATAATATCACATATATTACAATTCTAAGTTTTTACGAGTCATTGTATTCTTGATTTTGTACTAGTTTGCCTAATCTATTTTTTTAATTAATGGATATTCGGGCTTAACTAATTTTATAGACTCTGAAGTTAACTAACTAATTTTACGGGGTCTGAAGTTAATAATTATTTTACGGGCTCTAAAATTAATCATTATATAAATCTCTAATAACCCTAATATTTACAATATCTCGTAAAAAGAAATTTAAAATATGAGCAGTGGAAGTAGACCCTTCAAATTTTCCATCTACTTTTATTTGTACCTTTGATTTTCAATGGTCTTTATTAGTTCGAAAAATACAGTTGCATTAAATTGTCAAATTACGCGAAACCATATCATAGCAACACATATCCTGAACCTATTTATCAAGAAGACCTGATCTTCCGATCAAATACAAATGAAATTTTATCTAGTCCTTATTTGTCGAAAGATTCGGTTACTTTGAAATTGTCAAGTTACATGAAACCATATCATGACACATATCTTAATTAAACCTATAATTTCTGATCAAATATCAATGAAACAAAGATGATTTTAAAAGTGGAGGGTTGGCACAATTACTAAATAAAAGCAGACGGGGCAAACTAGTATAAAATTAAGAATACATGGATACAAAGAAGCTTTTACCTCTTAAACGACATACATTATCAGCATGATAATTAATCACCAACAGATCCTATTTTTATACTGATGAAGGGATACAATTACAAAAATACATAATAATCCGTCTATATTGTGTGTGTTTTTTTATGAATATAATATTGTTCAAAAACATCTTCAGGATATATAGGACGAGAGACAATATTCCATTAAAAAAAAAAGGAACTAGTGAGAAGATAGTAAGATCCCGTAGATAGTTCATGCAATGAATTTACCGAGTCTAAATGTGAATTTCTTCCGCTGGAACTAGGATTTTGAACGTACGTGCGATGAAGAGGATCCTCACGCTCAAAAAGAGGTATCTTCCATCCTTTAAAAAAGAAGAAGATGAAGATATGCCTTCTTTACAAGAGGGGGAACTGGAACATGACGACCAATATTAATCAGATCAGCTGCAGACTTTAGGAAAGAACATGTATAAGAAATGCTTTATTTTCTCCAATTAGGTAGCAACTTGAGTATTGGACGATAACTTTGCCTGCACAAGAGTGCAGCTTTAAACAGAAACATTGATTGGTGGTTTGATGGAGCTACAGCTTTGGGTGGGTCAGCCATGACACCCAATCTGAGAATACGAGAGAGTCCTACCATAGGCGTAAAAGAAAGATGGTAGTGGATGAAATCCAGCTCATAGCTCTCAAAGAGGGATACGACCCCACGTGGAGAGGACCTGCAATGCCAGTTGCAGTTCCCATAATATTAGAGGTCCTCATAGCTGTCTCCTCGTCCCTAACGCTGGCATCAAGCTTGATAATGACCATCGCCTTCCCCACATGTAAGTACTTTGATGCATTACTGTTTTTCATTCACGGTAAAACGTTACACTAGCTTTTAAATTGATCACTTTGTATTTTAGAAAGAGAGCCTGAGTATCTGGCTGCCTTCGGAAACAAAATATTTGTTAAATACCCGGATTTGAATGCAAAACTAATCTCCCGTATAATTATTTTTAAATATTTATATATCTTCCTTGATTTTATTTTATTTTTGAAAGGAGGGAGAGGAGGGGAGAGTTAAAAGGATCGACGTCTGTTAATCTCTAAATGAGAAAAAAGTGTTCAATATTCCCTACAATTGGATCCCTCCATCATACAATATTTAATATTAAATCTGAAAATTATTAAATCCATCATTATGAATTTCTTTCACACACAGTCCAAACATTTTCAACACTTTCTTTCATACATTTCCTTATACCCTTGACCTTAAACTACTTGACCTGTATATTTTAATCCTAAATCAAACAAAATCTTACAGTTGTCCAAGCTATGTTTTCATTCCAGGCTTAAAGTGCTCGAAACCGCACATGATTTACATCTTTGTATATAAGACCAAACACTCACTGATGATGTATCCATTTCATTTTATAATAGCCTAAAATACACAATCAAATTCAGTATATTATTTAATTTGCCGTCAACCTATAGCCACCGAGTGAATATTGACCAGGAATGTTCTGAGAGTGATGGATATTATCTTACAGTTGTAATTTTGTTTTCTTCTTAGGCCTTTTGCCGCCCTTGACTTGGTGCACATGATGGTCTTCATCATGGTTGGAATTAGTGTACATGTATTATATTAATGATGGATTGGTTTTGTAACTCTAACTGTTTTATACGTTTGGGAGTTGTCTTCTTAACATTTAGCTTGTGGTTGGAGGGGTTAGGATCATGTCGATGGAGGGGTGTTTTGCTTAGCGTGTCGAACAATCAAGCAGATGTATATGTCAAGGATCTTTGAGCATATTGCTGTTTAGAGATAATACGTTGATAACGAAGTATCATACCTCCAATAAAGTGATAATAACGAAGTTGAAATACTTTTTTCTTTTCTTTTATTTCTTTCTTTGGGGTGATTAGAACAAAATAGGTTGACGTAAAATAAAACCAAATATCGAAAGAATTGCTATACTATATGCAGTACTGAACCACCATGATAAAATGTTGCGCTTTGAGCCAGATGTGTTGTTTCCCCGATCCCATATTATTATTTTTTGGGACCATTGTATTCGTACGGATGATTAAATACATGAATTTGTTAATGATTTGTCAATTTCTTGGCTTAATATTCATGTATTAAACCTTAAAACTAACACTTCAGGCATGTAATAATGATATCTGTGTGTGAGATAGTGTGTAGAGAGAGAGAGAGATTTGCAATGCCAAGGCGCCATGCCTCTTGTGTTTATCTAAAATAGTGTCCAGCAATCACATTGATGTGGAATGAATAATTTCTGCGGTGGATGGGAAGTCCATTTTGATTGCCACTGCAGCAAGAGACCCCGCCTTGGGTACAAATGTTGGTACAACTAATATCCAACCAGACTATCATACTATTAACAATAAACAAACAAAGGACACTTGTGAAATTAAGAATAGGAAGTTTGAAACCAGGCAAAACTCATAACAAAAGTATCATTTCTTGTAGAAAAGTATCATTTCTTGTAATGCTGGGAGAGTATATTAATTAATCGTATGACAGAGAGGACAGATTCAAGAGCTGTGGTCACGCAGCTGTCATTGGATATTACAAATCCACCCTCCCTAGCTAGCCATCTTCTTTCCTGGACAGCAAATAAGAGTTTGCAGCTGTCGGGTCTCTCTCTCTCTCTCGGCACTCCTTCGTGTTAATTGAACAGCCAAACCCCAACCTAACCTATTTGTTATCAAAACAACCCTCAAGTAATATTAACAACAGCATCATAGACTAGCATGCTAGCTAATTAAGTTCCATCCAGCCATCACTTTCTTTGTCTCAAAATTCTTGCAATGATTCTTTGTGGTGAAGAAACAGAATGAAGGAAATAGGGGGGCGTTTACGTATAGAGCAGAAAGCAGAGACAACGAGGAGATGGAGAGGAGGAGCTGTCACGGCTATCTGAGTGATATATCAAGAGTTCATGCATGAAAAAAGGATAATCAGTACTTGTCATTTTGATGATTTGCGTGCCATGGCTTATCCACACCATCGATCTCAGTTTGGAGATACAACGTTTACAAAAGTGTTTGTTGGGGGACTAGCTTGGGAGACCCCAACTGAGGAAATGCGTAGATACTTTGAGCAGTTTGGGGAGATTCTTGAAGCTGTTATCATTGCAGACAAAAACACTGGAAAATCTAAAGGATACGGATTTGTAAGTTGATAAGATCTCTATTAAATTGCACAGACCATGTTCAGATGACTCAAATTCGTTAGGCCTTTTTTGATCACCAATATATATTTATATATATACAGGTGACTTTTCGTGATCCGGAATCTGCAAGAAGGGCTTGTGCTGAACCGAACCCGGTGATCGATGGCAGAAGAGCGAATTGTAACATTGCTTCACTTGGACGGCCGAGACCTTCACCGCCTCGAGGTTCATTATTGTTTTTGATTAATCAGAATTATATTATTAATCAGCCATCATATAATGTATCAACTGTATTTGGTTTCTACAACTATTCACCACTAATAATTAATAGTTAATTATTTTTTTAAATTTTGTTTGTTGTTACTTCAGGAAGACCGCAAGGTAGCAATCCCTTCCAGCGAAGTGCACCACCTGGTGCGCCATCATACGGCGGAGTTGCGGCACCATTTCCTCCTCTAGCTCCTCCTCCACCTCCACCACCTGTCCTCTATACACATTACGGGTTAGTTCCTTTTGCTTTCCAATTTTCTAAAGCTAATTATTTGGCTACATTAGTTGTAGGAAATGGTCCACCACACTCTCTGTTTCGTTTTTTCCACTCGATGCAGTTGTTATCAGCCTGTGAACAATTAAAAAGCTATAGCTATTGACTCTTTTTTTTTTTTAATATGAAATTATAGCTAGTAAATATTGAGCTGGCAATGCGACATCACAGAAAATAAATAGACAAACCAGTAAAGACTTTGTAATGAAGGGGGTTACCATTACTGCTCCCTCCGAAGTTCATAAGCTTACATGTTACCTCAGGACAGCTACGTCCTATGCAACAATGTGACCCACCTGGCCTTGCTGCATGAGACTTATTTGCATGGCCTGATTTAATCAAGAAAAGACTTTATGAACAGAGGGTTAGTGCTAGAGAAATTGAAGAGAATAGAATCTAATAATTTGGCCTTCAAATAATATTCCCAGCGTTATCGTTATACAATGTTAAAAAATAATTCGTTTCCTCCCCTACAAATGCTGCATGCACTCGAAAATGCAGGCACACCACACAGACTTAGATGCGTATCAATCTTTATTAAATAATCTCAACATAATATATTACACTTAGTGTGGTAAATTTAATTAGACGAGTATATTAAAAAATAAAAAAAAATCAAATAATTGAACCTGTTATATCCTAGTAGATTGTGATAAATGCTCCGTTCTCAAATTTATAAATTTCTATTATAAATTTTTATTTATTGTAAGTGGGATTGGTAAGTTTAACATATCCCAGATATTTTAAATAGATATTAATTTGTTGGCGGTATTTAACTTTGTAAAGTTATTGCATCGATAATGATCCCATCCTATGAAAAATAGATCAATGATCTCCCCTTAATTTTATTGAAAAGAAAATTTACAGTCACGATAAAGGCTATATGTTGCTGGGATTTCCCTATGATCTAATTGATACAGGATAATGGAGAGTGAGGCTGTCTCTTATTTTGATTACGTTATCTATTTATCTGGAGAGGGAAATTGAGAAGCTTTCAAGGAAAATGACAGGGACATGGATTAATGGAACTCTCTAATAATGATGAAAAGCTAGCTATCTACTATTTCCATGTAGCCATCGGAAGATCCACATATCCGTGGGAATTATGTTTGATTAGAAATAAAATCACCAATTAATACGAAGAAGACATCATTTTGATATTTCCCTGCCACAGGGCTGCGGTGGATGTTACCATGCATGCCGGCCCAGACGGTAGGGAGATTCGATCAATATTTATTCATCTTAGAAATAATTCTCTTACATATATATGTATATATTTATATGAATTTATCATATTGAAGATATGATGGAATTGATTTTAGTGCCCACCATAAGCAGACATTGTTATTGGTAGCAGTTGCTATCACAGTGGGTCTCAACCGCAGCACAACAATTAAATTCCCGATGCTACCTGTTTCCTCAGCTAGAGAAGCAACTTACAGAATCTAATTAGATTTCATGTAGCTTTTTTCTCGTTCATACGTACTATGATTCATTGACTCAACTCCTGCAGGTATCCAACCTACACTCCTGACTATGGGCACCCCCAGGTTAACACCCCTTCTCTGCTTGTTTATTGATTTTTCATGTGCTCAAGGAAAAAAAATCGGAAAGTTACAGACAATAGTTCGGTAAAATTAATATATACTACGGTGGATGGACATGGATGCAGGCAATGTATAATTCACAAATTCAACAGCCAGCTCAATACTATCATCAGATGTACGGGACATCATCATCCACCATAGGCGCACCATACTATTATGGCTACTCTTTGCAAGCTCCAAGGACAGCACTCTCTGGACCTCAGGCTCAACGAATACCTGGACCGTCTTATTTATACTTCCCAACGTCTATGGAGGGGTCCTTCTCTTCGTTTCCTTCTCCAACTATTCAACCCGCAAGGCATCCCTTTCCCTCTTCTAGTACAGCTGGTACGTGCTTGCTTTTTATCCTTCTCTTCAATGATCTTCAGCTCCCCATTCATAGAAAACATACACATTTGGAGATACATAATATACATACATACATACATACATATATATATTTATGCTTAATCATAAGAAGGATAAAACATACATAATATATACAATGATGATCGAAAGTGTTTAACCCCAGTCGTTACTTGATGGATCGAAGACTGAATAGATCATTAGGTTTGACTTAGGCATTCGTTCTTCTTTCCATATCTCTCCACATATATATATCATGCATTAGTAGATAATGTTAAAAATTAGGGCTTGTCTAGCTAGCTACTTAGCTGGCCTTAATACCGGGGGGCCGCATGGGCAACCTCAACCATGTGGATGAGCTGTCTGGTTATCTGGATGACCCAAGTACTGGGTCAATATAAAGTAAGGACAGAGGAGCATAAGGTGTAAACAAATAGTGATTGCATGTGGTTTCAGTATCAACTATCAAGATGGTAGTTGATTCTGAGATGCAGTCAAATGATCGTGTATGTAAAGAGGCCCACAACGCATGTTATATACTGCCATGCGTTGCTTTTAGGTATTTAAAAGCTACCACACGAACTTTTATTCAACCAATAAATGACTACAGTAGCCGAATCAGTAAATATACGATGGGATTTTCCTTCTCAAGAAAGAAAGAATCGTGGGATTTCACGAGGAAAAGCTAATGTATATCACCAAGTTCATAATGAAGATGCATTAGAAAATATTTGAAATGTGGCTTCTGGCAGTAGCTAGTGTTTTAAGCTTATTCTACTTGACAAAAAAATTTGAACTGTTGAGAGACCATGATGGGTCTTTTGCTTGGTTATCGTATGTTCTTAGATCTCTGGGCATCGACTGATCTGGTTTTATTCCATGAAGCAGATCTCATGGTCCCTGATGAATTATCTAGCTTTGTTGTTCTTTGTTAATTTTCTTCCTTTTTAGTTCCGTTTCCGTTTGAGCAGTCTCTGTTCATCTTCCCTGCGGGTTATCCCCTTGCCGTGTGCTTGTTTACCTATCAAAAATAAATAAATAAATGACCTTTAATCGATTCAGAATATACATAGGATTTTACATGGGTCTATAATCTCCACCTTTAACAACCACGACATATATTGAGAATTTACTTTACGTCGAGCCCCTCATCATCCATCACCTGAACTACCAACGTGCTATAAATCTACTTGATGACCTGGCTAGTTGGATCGACCCAATAACCCACTATATAACTTAGAGCCTTGTTTGGGTTGTATTTTTTTGCAGATCATGATAGATATTGACCTAGTAAAACATGATTGATCTAGCTCTAGCATATCAATTTTAAGGATTTTTTTGGTCCAAAACAATATTGTGTTAACTAAAAAAAATGATTTTTTTTAGATTAATCTGAATTCACCCATTGACCCATGAATTGATCCAACTAACGGAGCAAGTTCTAATAACTATGAAAATTATGTTAGCTCTGGCCATAATTTATAGCCTTTTCTTTCCGTTCTGTTATTTTTATAAAATTCTTGAGGGTCGTATTTTTAAATTTTAACAACAATAGTTCATTCTACTGAACTGGTGTGGTTAATTAGTTTGTGCTTACATATGTATATAATATCAATCCAATAATTTTTACCTGAATTTAATCCACCGAACTAAATTAATCGGTTGAAGCGGTGGCCCGGGCTGCATCCTTCATCTAACTACATGGAAAAATAAATTAAGATTGGATATCTTGTTGCAATAGTAAAATTAAAGATGGCAAGTAAAATCAGTTTTCCTCCCAGTTAATTCTTCTTCTTTGTTTTTTCGTTCTGATGATGGTTAGTATCATTGGCTGTAGCTATTGCATCTGCAATTTGATAAATGAAAGCATCATGGGTACTGATGCTTTTGCCTGCCGCTAAGAAAACTGCGATGTCCACACACACAATATTTATGTATCAGATATACTGACTGCAGACTTTGTTTGTCTATGTTTGGCCTCAGCCTCATCGGCTCCACAGAACACCACCACGGAAACAGAAG